ATAACTGGCAGGAAGAAGCGGTGGCTGACTTCCGGAGTCGTTTCAATGAAATATCTGCTTATTCACCCTGTCTGCGCGAAACGTGCGAGACCCCCTCGCGACTGAAGTCTTAAATCCAGTAAGTCAGTGACACCTCAGCGTCCCAAAAAATGAGGTATGCACCTGCTATGAATTACTACCATTGTAGGTTTAATTTTGCAAACCAAAAGTGCATCACGCAGAAGCGTGATGCACTTGTCAGCGAGCGATTTTAAATTTGTTAACAATTCTTAGCATACCTGCCAACCTGTGGACTTTCAAATTCGTAAAAGTCCCGGAGCCGCGGCGGCGGCGGCGGCGGCGGAGGGGGGGGGGGGTTACGCGAAGCGATGTGCAGCTTAATGTCAGCCTGGCCAGCGTGCGAAACGCTTACATCACATGTGCACGTGCTACAGAAGTCCAAACTTCTCTCGCTTTTTGGGCGGCACGAAGCACGGAAATTTCAACGTGTAGGACTTCAGGAACACCTGAAAGTATCTCTTTCGAGGTTTGGAATTCGGCATTGCGCCGCGAAGCCACAATGACCACGAGAATGCTACCGTTACACGTGCAACAAACACGGACGCCGTACTTCTCGCCTTGAAACTGGCCGAAGCAACGAGGCCCAACAACGTCTGAACACGCCGAACCAACGTGCACCCGTGCACTGCCGTACACACCAACAAAGGCTTTGAGCTTTGGATTCGTTTTCGATCCGTGGCCACCAGATAGACGGATAGTAAAAACCACGACGCTGCTGTGGTAGGTACCTATCGTCCTCTTGTGGCGGTGCAAGATACCGCCAACAACGGAGTTACAAAAACAACAAAAAATAAAATAAAATAAAATAAAAAAAAAGTTAAAATTATATTTTTCGTAAGATTTGAAGCAAGATTCGTAAAATCGTAAAATTAGCCCCAATTCGTACATTTTACGAAAAATTCAGAAGAGTTGGCAGGTATGATTCTTAGTGAAAATTGGATAGAACAAATTATTCAATTGCCTGAATTTGCCGGGCCGTGTCAGAGAATTTAAGGAATTTATGAAAATTTTTGCTTTTCTTTCTAGCAGAAGTCGCGATCTGACAAACTTCGATGCCATATATTCAATGCAAAAGTGGAGTGTCTGTTGCTGACGAGCATTCGCTCGTCAGCAACTGTTGAGTCATACTTGGATAGAAGCGTCGGTATCGGCAAGATCAATGTGGCTAAAACAAGTGAGGCGCTTTGCCACACAACTGTGCAAGCGTGCACACCTAAGAAGACAGCCCGTCATTTACTCTGGTGAATGCAAAACCTTTTTCTACAGCAGTTTTAAGGGGGTACTCATTCGCCACCCTCATGTCCGCTCTTTCTCAAAAAATGTCGCTGGAGTTTGGCCGGAGAAAGCAAAAACATATATGCAAGAGGGGTGAGGACAAAGTGACAGACAACCGGTCTAACCAATCCTTGGCGCTTGGGCTGTGACGTCTTGAAACTTGGTGGCGCGAACAGGGGAGGGATGGACGGAGGGGCAGCTCTCCTACAATCATCTTCTGGCGACCTTGAGACTTTGTCCAGAGGCACGGAGGATCGGGGAGACGAGTTGGGGGCTTTTATTGAGGGAACGAAGCAGCTATTCCCATCTTTCATGTGAGCCTCGTTGACTCTTTACGGGAAGGGGGAAAAGAAGGCCCTGGAAGGTGCTAGTTAGTGGTGCCACTGGTGTGGCTAGTGATGCCCACTTTATAGATTTATCTCCTGACCTAATTGTTGTTGTTTTGCTCTCACCTTGTCATCTAAAGACTGGTCTGCAGATATAAAAAGCCGGCAGAAAGGGGTATTCGCTTCACTGTGGACAATGCCAAGTGCGGTTTGGTGAGATCGCTGAGGTTTACGACATAGACTATCGTGCCAACGTGGTCTGGTATTTAGGATGTGGCGAGCAAGCAGACAAACGTCGCAAAACAAAACCCTTGTGGCTCACAGGTTGCACAACCTCACAGCACACAGTTGCTTTTCATTATTCTTGAAGGACGACTACAGTCAAACCCGTTTATAACGAACAGCAGGAAGCGCTACGATCACTTCGATATAGCAAGTAGTTCGATATAGGAAGAAAAAAAACATTTACAACGAAATTTCACGATTAGTTCGTTGTAAGGCGAGAGCTACTCTTTCTTTCTCATCTCTTCATTCCGCCTTGTAACAACGTGCTAAAAAGTTTTTTTTTTGCATGCCGCGCAGTTTTTTATTTTTTATTTTATCTCTCTTTCTGAGTCGCTTCTCTTCGTGGTCAAACGCTTTGGAATGGAAAGTTTTTGTTTCTTTCTGTGCGTGCGTGCAGAGTATTTTTTTTTTGTTAGCTTTTTCCCCTTCTGAGTCACATCTCTTCCCTCAATTTTGTTCGCAACTTGAGCTTTTGGAATTTTTGGTGTTTCCTACTTCTTTTTTGGGGGGGGGGACGGGACAGGCTAGAAGACGATTGTTTTCGCATTTTTGGAAGCCTTCCCTGGGGTGAAAAGTTCGATATAACCAATATGTTGTTCGTTATAAAGCATACTTTTTACATGCATTTTTATTTAAATTTTTCGCGAGTTCGATATCGTCAATAATTCGCTGTACGTGGGTTCGTTCTAAACGGGTTTCACTGTATATAGAAATATGGCCAAGTCTGCTTGTGAGCTGAAATTATCACCAAGACAATGCCTGAACCTATCACCCCTTTCTGTTTCTGCAAGGACTGCAAGGATGGCGACTACATAGCCGGAAATACTCGGGCTGGAACCTCTGAATACCTAATACCTAAAGTGGTTCTGCCTCCTGGATCCTCGTGATACTGTGATGCTTCAAATATTTACTCGTGCGCCCAAAAAGGTTGTGTTGTTTTGTGATGTCATTTTCAAATATATTGTACTCGTTGCCACCTTCATTCTCTGGACGATGAAGGGGGAAAGAAAAAGGCACAACCGAGCACTTCCTAGAAGTTGGTGGCGCCAGGTGTTTTGTGGTTTTTGGGGCCAGGGGAAGAATGCGGCGGAATCCATCATGGCTCATTAGGTTTGTAGGCGGCTAGGCCTGTCTCGGCGGGCAGCGTCAGGAGGATTCAAAAAGGAGCACTTGCTCCTGAAACTAGATTTCCCTGTGCCCAAGACCCAAGCACAGAGTCAATAATCTTGATGCGTGATTGCTGAAGAGCACTTGCAGACTGCGGCTGCTAAAACATAACCAGAAATCGCCCGCTGGAACGGCTAACAGAGCAAAAAGACATGGCAAAAGAAGTGGCACTATGAACAAGAAACCTCCTTAAAGACGAAGATGACATCAAGGCACAAGGTTGCTTGACAAACAATCAACCCGGTGATAGAAGCCGGTGGTAACCTTTGACCAGCTTGAACACTCACAGCCACGACACGCAGGCAGTTAAAGCGACATGAGCTGGTGCACCCACTCATTTTTCATTTACAAAATAATTAGAAATTCCTCAATTGATTTGCTTAACCTTTGTTAATTGTCTTAATTGTCTCTCATGTAAAGGGCAGGTTTCCAATGCACTGTCACATTGGGACACATAACTCATAATTTTTGGCACAAAGGCCAGATGGACAACTCTGTTTAGTCTTGTGCCTCATATGATCCAGGTCAGGGGTCTCAAATTCATTTGAGTGTGGGGGCCAGATAACGCACCCCCGAAGAGTCGAAGGCCAACGTAAGGCAGAAGGGGAAGGAAGGGCGGGGGTGCCGGGCTTAAAGTTTTTATAAGGAAGGAACTTTACGCTTTCTGCTCTTTGTAAACTCACAGTTTTGCCAGTGGCATCTTTAACTTTGATTTGTTTATAGGACTACTTTGGGCCCTTACCTGTTGTGATAACCAGTTAGAATAACACCGCACCGTCAACGTGCTGGAATTTTTTAATAAAACAATTCACTCCGAAATTAAGGAAACTTAGCATGTTTAAATAAAATATATTCATTTTTCAGTTTCTGCTTTCCTCAGGACCAACTTGTACTACTTGTATTTTAATGGTGGTATTTTCTGAAGGCGAGAACCGTAGAGAGATTGCCATATAGTTGATTAACATGGTAAAATGCTGGAGTGCAAAAATTAAACCAAGGCATATTAAAACTATAATTGCAGAACTATGTTTCGAGCGAAAGTGAATCTACGAATTGAAACATGGCCTGTCATTTTTAGCTCTCGGTACATGGGAACGGGGGCTTCCAGCCGATTCCCCTGCGGGCTGCGTCGCAGCGGGTGGAGGGTTGCGTGTTTGAGACTCCTGATCTAGGTACACTCATCGATATATGATGTATCATTCTTTTGACATACCCTTTCTTATTCTCCATCAAGAAAAACTTCCAAGACATGCTGCTCATTCTTGCTCATTGAAACATGCACAAAGTATGATCCAATCGTAAGTACTCTTAGGTCCAGGAAGTTTTGTCTTTACTTAGTTATAAAAGAATACCACGTTTACATGTTTGGTTACAAATGTGGATGGATGGAAAGATGGACATTGACGGCTGTACCATTTATAATGGGCATTAGCTTGTGCCATTTAGCCTGAAAACATAAAAAATCTGATTCTGCCCCTTTTAGGCCAATGCTTTTCTGTAAATTTTACCGAGCCGTGGGGGTGACATACCTGCCAAGTTTTACAATTTTATCGTAAAGTGCCCGCTTTCTTATGGTTATCGTATTGACAACAATAGTTCTACGATTATTTCTGATCCTGTGTAAAAATATATAGTAAATTGTTTTTTGTTCAAGCTGCATCTTGCCAGTTTGCAATTCGGTGTTGGCTACACTGATGCATTGACTTTATGCTAGGGGGCGCAAGCTACTACTTTTTGTAAAGGGTATAGCTGCTAACACCTATCCAAATCTAAAATACCTTTCTGTTTAGGAAATCTTTCTAGTGGCAATTTGGGTTGTCGCGCAAGTCGTGCATTGTTTTGCCGGAACTTTTTCGCATGATCCCTTAAAACCACCTTTACAACAAGATGGTGGGGGAAAACTATGTTCAAGTGTTCATTCCCAGCTATTCGACCGACTTTCCATGTATCAGGGCAAAAGGTATGCATGTTGTAGTTCGTGCCGCGGCAATGCTCTGTGTCATCTCAGTACGAACATTGTGTTCGTACTGAGCCGGGACATTTTGTGTCATCCGAGTACGAAAAAGCACGAGGACTCTGCAAAACTAGTTGAAACCAATGAGAAGCTTTGAGGGTACTTTAGCCGATCAATGGATCACTAAACTATCTGAGCAGAATGCCTTTTTACGGCATTTTTGTTGAACAGAACGGGCCGTTCACGGCGGTTGATTGCGCCGGTGACCTTTTAGAAAATGTCCCACGATTCAAAGGGATGCTACTAACTACGCTTGTGCTCAAACCAAGGCAGTTGCGATAATGAAGGGAAGTGCTGAAAAAGAGATTGGCGATGTTAGTAGTTCAGTAGTGTGCCGTTTTTAGTTGTGACTGATGTAAGCATTGACGTTGGCAATGATGCCAAGCTTTATCCTATCGTAGTCACGTTTTGTGACTAAGTTTTGAAGAACAGAAATGGTTTTTGTATTTCTTCCCACAATTGTAGTGGTTTTTTAGCATCCCCTGTAGAATTTTTAGCACTGTAGGGTTGGCAGGTCTGGATTGATTGCTGGGATGACCCTTAAGAGATTGGGCAAAATAACGGTAAAGCATGCACCACCCTTCTCTTTGCCCTGTTGAGGGAGTCACCAATTTTTTGGTTGGCATCGCCCCAACATCAGACCCATTGGGGCACAGTTTTGAGACCTTGGGTCAGAGCCACTAGAGAGGAAGTCCCAATTTTTCTCCAGCCCCAGCTGTGCTACTTACCATAAAATACCATTAAAGTGCCTATTTTGTTCAAGCGCCCACTATTAACATGTTCCAAACTTGGGAATGCTGCAGATTATACACTAAGCGTCCAATTTGACTGAACAAGTGCCCATTTCCAGATTATTTCCGTTTTCAAGGAAGTGTGATGAGCGCTCCCCTGGTATTTTACGGTAGTTGTTCTTCAATCCCTTTTTCCTAGATAATTTCTACCACTCTAACCTCCTCTCTATTGCATCTACTTTACTGTGATCCAAACTGCCATCTTTCCAGCGAAACTCTGGCCCCGGTACATCTGATACCCCTTCGGAAAGGGCAGCACTAAACTCCTTACATGTTAGAATCACATGTTCAATTGTTTATCTCTTCTACACATAGAGCACGTTTTATCTATATCTTCAAAATTAGCCCTGTATATGTTTATTCTTAAGACTCCTGTCCCTGCCTGAGCCAGCTAAGTGCTCCCTCTGGCATTATCGCTTTTCCAAGGTCTGTCCACGGTTACCAGACTGATTTTCAACCAGAACGTGGCTGCCTGCCAATGTGCATAGACGAAAGAGGTCAGACAAGCTAGAAAGTGGCCACAGATGACAAACCTGAAGAGCATCACAACAAGGAAAGAAGGAAAGGTTACAAATTTGGCTGGAAAGCCCCGATAAATTGAGCTTATCTTCGGCGCCAAGGTCATGCCTTTTGAAGGGAGCGAAACGAGCAGCCGAAAGTAGCGGAACTTGGTGAAGTCTGTAACCCAAGGTCTTAACCTAGCTCTTTTTTTCTTATTTGTGGACCTTTTTGTGTCCGTAATAATGAGACAGAGTTGCATGTATTTACCCAGTTTCTTCCCAGAACTAGCTAACCTTAGCCTGCACTCCGGCTTTTAATATTCACGAGGCAGAATTGCATAGAGGGGGATTGATCCCCCAAAATTGTGTCTGTATAGTGGGGCATCCATATTAGCACGACATGACTGCACCCAGTCATGGGCACGTTACTGCTAAAATGTAACAGTGTTACAGTTACAGTTACTCAGGTAAAAAAGTAACCCAGTTAGAGTTACAAAATTGAAAGAGTAACTTCTTATAGTTATAGTTACGTCTCTAAAGTAACGCCGTTACTTTGTCATTACTTTACGAAGAAACATGAGAAAACATTCAAAATGGACGTTCTTTTATATGCCTTTAATTTAGCATAGATTTCTTAAAAGACATTGTGTTCACGGTAGTGAATCTGATTATGTCGAGAAACTAAGATTTTCTTAATAATATATATTAATATATTTGGTTCTTCCTGTTTCAATTTTGACTATGAATAGCTCAGATCATAACTTAAAGCAGTATCCGAGTAAATCCACTACCGTAAAATACCGTGCATCCGCCCATACCACATTAAGCGCCAATTCCCAAATTTGTAAAATCTGAGAAAATGTGCACAGTACATTGATATGCAGAACTGATGACCGGACAAGTGCCCATCCCCCATTTTTTTATGATTATCTCAAAATTTTAAGTGGGCGCTTGCCCGGTATTTTACGGTATATGATAAAGAATTGGAGTCTCTTGGTTGGCAAAATTACAGGGGACCATAGTCTTAAACATTTAGCATAGCTGATAGCTGGTCTATAAAGAACTTTAAAATAAGAGAGACCACCATAAGGTATACACGAACACAAGGGCACGCGTCCAGATCTCGTGTATATCCAATCATGGTGCCAGTTTACAGTCGGTCAATTCTGATTTCGGATTTTTTTTTATGAGGCGAAATTGGACTGAAGCAATATAAATTGTGCAAATGTGAAGTCAATAATAATATGTCCTACCTTGCAATTCTTATGCCACTCTAATCCACTCGTCGATCAAATCGTTTTCTACTGCGTGTTCTGAATCTTTCATGAAACACAAAGCTTTTCTTGAAAACTTGGAGAGCAATGTTGCGGCTACATTCCTCCGTCAAACAACCACTGCGCGTGGAATTCCAAACGGCTGTTGCCTTTCCTCCATCGCTTCCTAACCAGATCGAACTTGCTCCTCTATCTTACCACCCGAAATAGAAGAGACCACCCGGAAAGCCCACGGCTTGAATATCTATAAGTCAACTGACGCCAAGTGCCCCTGGCCCCAGCTAAGGGCAGTCTTTCAATTACAAAAACACACAGACAAACAAGCAGAACGACACAGACGTTTCGAGCAGATACTCTTTCTCAAGTGAAGGGACCCGAGAAGGGAGAAATGGGTGACGGGAGGCAAGGCCGGTTGTAAAAAAAAAGGAAGGGAGAGAAAACAAGCCTGAAGTCGAGACCCCGCAAGAGTGCATCTGGGAGATGGACGACTCAAATTAGAGGGGAAGGAAACGTATGCTTGGTGGCAAGAAGACGCCTGTAAGCCTGCGGGCGTTTGGGGCGACCATCCCTGAAAACTGTCCTCTGCAAAAAGCACTCGCTCCCTCCGCGGGACGAAGAAAAGAGGAATGCTTTAAAGATGCCGCGCTTTGTTACATCCCTGTGCGCTGTGGGCATACATGGCTGGTACGGACACAAACGTCCCCATCCTCCCAGTTGGCGGGACTAGCTTGGCCGTGCAGTGTCAAACAAAATTTAGTTTATATTTTTATTTTTTTTCCTTCCTGCTCCAGACGTTTCCTGCAGCAGTTTTTGCTGTGCCCTTCCCGCACCAGGGCTTGGGACTCTCTCACGAGTTGCAAGGCAATTTGGTGGTCGTGTTCCTGTAAATCTGAGAAGTAACTGTAACGTTGCTTTTTACAGTTGCTCTCAAAAAATAGTAACTCTGTTACAGTTACAAGTTATTTCCACTAAGCAGTAACGCATTACAGTTACAAGTTATTTCCACTAAGCAGTAACGCATTACAGTTACAAGTTACTAAAAAAAGTAACTAGTTACCAGTAACATGTTACTAGTAACTAGTTACTGCCCAAGACTGACTGCACCACATGTTGTAATTCTTTTACTGGTAACTTCATGGAACACGTTCTATTTGAACTGTCATAATCAGTCATTGCCAATTAGGAAACAACATATCTAGCAATCTCCAGATATTGTTTTTGTTGTAGTTTCTGAATAATTATGTATCCAGCCCCCCAAAAATTATTCGGATCCAGATTCTAAATCGAAAGGTACTGGGTAAAAACATTTTCTTGTGAAAAAAGAAAATTTTTTAGAAAACAGAAAAACTTTTCAAAGTGAGAAGATATGTGAAGTATAATTTATAAATAAAAATAATAAAAATATATGAATTTTTTTAGGATTTTCATTTTTCAAGAAAAGGGACTTTGCTTAAAATTGCCAGTTGCATTTGAGTTCTTCCGTGAATTGAATTTCAAAGCACCACAAAATATTAAACTACAGCTGTGGCAAAACTGCATTAATGACTTCTTTTTTCCGAACTAATTGGCTATCTTTGTTAGGCTTTCCTTGTGTGTGAATACATATGTTTTTTTCTTCTAGGTGATGGAGTCACATTGTTGGGCAAGACCAGCTGCCCACTGAAAGTCACCAAGGACATCTGGTTCAGATGCTGTTCCTGCACGTATGTCACCAGAGATCAGCATGGAATTGTGAGCCACCTGGCTGCTCATGGTGATGCACAATCCAAGTGCCAGCATCCTTCCAAGTCTGGCTCTAAGGTCCAAGTGCTCAGCAACACTGAAAAGCACAACAGTAAACAGCCATTTAAGTGCGAACTTTGCCCCCAAGAGTTTGCTTATAATTCCATGCTGACCTGTCATAGTCGAACACATACTGGTGAAAAGCCTTTTAAGTGCAAGCAGTGCCCCCAAGCCTTTGCTCACAATTCCCTTTTAAAAAACCATAATCGAATACACTCCGGTAAAAAGCCATTTAAGTGCAAGCAGTGCCCCCAAGCCTTTGCTCACAATTCCCTTCTAAAAAACCATAATCGATTACACTCCGGTAAAAAGCCATTTAAGTGCAAGCAGTGCCCCCAAGCCTTTGCTCAAAATTCCGATCTACGAAACCATGATCAAACACACACTGTTGAAAAGCCATTTAAGTGCAAGGAGTGCCCCCGAGCCTTCGCTCGAAATTCCGATCTACGAAGACATAATAATGTGCACACTGGAGAAAAGCCATTTAAGTGCAAGCAGTGCCCCCGAGCCTTTGCTCGAAATTCTCATCTGCAAGGTCACAATCGAATGCACTCCAATGAAAAGCCATTTAAATGCAAGCAGTGTCCACAAACCTTTGCTCGAAATTCCCTTTTAAGAAAGCATAATCGAATGCACACTGATGAAAAGCCATTTAAGTGTAAGCTTTGTCCTCAAGAGTTTGCTTATAATTCCCTTCTGACCTGTCATAATCGAACACACACTGGTGAAAAGCCATTTAAGTGCAAGCAGTGTCCCCAAGCCTTTGCTCGAAATTCCCGTCTGCAAAGCCATAACCGAAAGCACACTGGTGAAAAGCCATATAAGTGCAATCAGTGCCCTCAAGCTTTCGCTCAAAATTCCACTCTACAAAGCCATAATCGAACGCACACTGGTGAAAAGCCATTTAAGTGCAAGCGGTGCTCCCAAGCCTTTGCTCAATATTCCACTCTACAAATCCATAATCGAACACACACTGGTGAAAAGCCATTTCAATGCAAGCTGTGCCCCAAAGCCTTTGCTCGAAATTCCCATCTACAAAACCATAATCGAATGCACGCTGGTGAAAAGCCATTCATGTGCAAGCAGTGCCCCAAAGCCTATGCTCAAAACTCCCATCTACGAAGCCATAATCGAGTACACACTGATGAAAAGCCATTTAAGTGCAAGGAGTGCCTTCGAGCCTTTGCTCGAAATTCTGATCTACGAAGCCATAATCGAACGCACACCGGTGAAAAGCCATTTAAGTGCAAGGAGTGCCCCCTAGCCTTTACTCGAAATTCTGGTCTACAAAGCCATAATCGATTGCACACTGGTGAAAGGCCATTTAAGTGCAAGGAGTGCCCACAAGCTTTTGCCCGAAATTCCTATTTGAGAAGCCATAATCGAGTGCACACAGGCGAAAAGCCATTTAAATGCAAGCAGTGTCTCCAAGCCTTTTCTCATAATACCACTCTTGTCCGCCATTATCGAACACACAGTGTTTAAAATGCCTACAAGAGCAAACAATGCCCCAAAAGCTTTGCTGAGAATAGAAGTTTATTTGCCAGAACCAGATGGCACACGTGCAGAATGCTTTGCAGTTGGCCTGCAAGTTGAGCCTGCTCCATGTGTAATCGTTAAAGTCATGCAGAACTTGATGCCATTTCAGTCGAAGGGTACAGATCCAAGAGGCATCTTTCTCCTCTCGAGGAGGAGGAGGAAAGAGTAAGGAGAGGAGGAAGGAAGGAAGGATTAGAGAGAGAGAGAGAGAGGAGTAAGTGAGATGTGAGAATAGAAAAAAGGCTGGTCTTGCGGTTGGGGAGGTCCTGCGGCAATTTTTTGTGGGTGCTTTGTTGTAGGGAAGCAGACGAATTGGAATGCGATATCTTCTTTTCATGTGCTTAGGGCGTTCTAACAGATTTTGAAACTCTGTTTTTGGATGTTCGACTAAACTCTGGTCGCTTATTGTAGCACATAATGGGGTTAATATTTGTAATACCCTCGACTCAGCGCACCCTGGCGGTTTGTAGGTGGAAACAAAATATACAATTACATTAAATAAAATAACAAAACAACCCAAATTCAAAATGCTAAGAACGCAGCTATACGAAATCAAATCCAGTAACCTAGTACGTTCTTGAAAACCTGAGCAATAGGCCCAATGTAAAGAGTGCACACTTATTGCTCCTGCGCTCCTAAGAGTAAAAATAAGTTCCGAGTTCAACCAAATTACAAATCAACACAAAATCTTTTTGTTAAGGGGTAACACTGGTCTTGGAGCTTTTTTTCTTATTTTATGACCAAACTCAATGAAACTGCACAAGCTTGTTCAGCTTTTTGTGCTGATTTCATATATCTGGTAATTTCTTGATTCAGTAGAATTGTCCTGAAGATAATTAAAACTTACCTGCCTTTGTTTGGAGGAATGATAGGGAAAAAACTGCTCAACAAAATATCCTTTTTAACACATGGCCAGATACTATGAAGTGTAAAGAATACAATGTTGGAAGTACTTTTAAGATAAACCCATTATTAGTGATTTTACAACATATTGAAGTTCAGTGCTCAATGCATGGCTAACAAGTAATAAAACAAAAGATCAAATAAAAAATTGTCTAGACTTATATTAAAAAATCTGCTCTCAACATTGTATGCTTCACACATTTAGCAGCACATTACAAGAAAGGTTATATTTTTGACTGCTGTAGATGCTGAGATATCCCTCCTGCAAATTTTCAACGAGTCCAAAAATTGTGTTATGTGAAAACAATGTTTTAGAGTCAACTTTAATGTACATTCAGCTCGAAAAGACATTATAAATTGATTTATAGCTCGAATATTTATCCACGAAATTAGAAGCGTGGTAGATTCAGAAGAACAACAGCCATCACCGTTTTCAAAAGAATGCAGTTTTAGGAAGTTTTTGGCTCTAAAGACCCATGTCCCCCCTTAAATAAAAACAGAAAGAATAAACATAGGGACGGACAGAACAACAACAAGTGTTGTTCTGTCCGTCCCTATGTTTATTCTTTCTGTTTTTATTTAACTTCACCAACGCGCTCACGTCGAACTAAGTCTTTTTGTTAGTTTAATTTCAAATCGAACCCCGCTCGAGTGCTCTAAGGCATCGGGTAGTGCTTAGCAACGATATCGAGGACTCGGAGGAAGGCATCATTGCAGCGGATGGGGTGTCCATCGACATCCATCTCAGCCAGTTAAGGCGTGTCTGCAGCGTTGCAGCAGTTTTTATTTTGCCAGCTGGCATCCTCTCATATTTCCCGCTGCAGCCCCTTGCCTTCGGGAGCAGGTAGAGCTAGTCGAGTGTATTAAAAATATTAACCCCATTCATTAACTGTAACAGTAAGCGACCAGCGTTCAGCCGAACATCCAGAAACAGAGTTTCTAAATCTGCTAGAACGCCACAACAAAGTGCCCACCACAAATCGCCAGGGAATCTCACTGACCGCAAGTCCTCTCTTTTTTGTTTTGCGACAAATTTTCGGACAAATTTCCCCAATTCCCTCCCACACCCTCTTGCTTTCTCTCTAATCCTCCTCTCCTTCCTTCTCCCCTCTTTTTCATTCTCCTCTCCCTCCTCCTTTCCTCCTCCTCAAGCGGAGTATGACGCCTCTTGGATCTGTGCCCAATCGAAGTATTCACATAACCGAGTGCAACATGGGTGTCCCAAAGGCTTTGCTCAGATTATTATTTAAGCGTGCCACACTGAAGCTTTTATGCACAATAAGCCTGACTAATTCCAGCAGTGTCCGAAGTCATTGTTTTAACGGTCTTGCCTTATCGGGCACATGCTAACAACCGAGGTTAACAAACCCTAAGGGCATTTGCGTTTGGGGGTTTGCCTGAACCAAGTGGGCCTTTCAGATGCCAGCAATATCCGAGAAACTTGAATCGGAATTCCAGCTTGGTTGGCCTACAGTGTGCACACAGAGCCAGACTATTGGCCTTGCTCTGGAGCCTCTTGTCCAAATGCCACCGTTCGTCATCACACTAAGGTATTGGGGAGTATTAGGTGATTCTTCTCCAGCTGTGACCCAGAGGTTGGGTCAAGGATTAGGAAACATTGTTTGATATTTTTCAGAGCAACTACTTTGTGTTCTGCAACTGAATGTACATTGGGTCATGCTCTAGCTCTTGTTCCAAGCTCCCTTGAACTTGCTCAAGGTGTGCTCTTTGAGGCAAGGTCTAATATGTTTGTAAAAATGTCTTTATCGTTTTCTTTTGATACTACTCCTATTTATGAGGAAGATACAAATGTAACAAACATTAATGTGCAGTCAGAATTTAATCTTGCTTATAAAAGAAAAAGGTTGGCAGTTTAAATTTTTACATTGTTTCTTTCGCTGCTGCGGAATTCGATACTGATGTAATGGCTCGTTCACACCCCTGGGACTGCTTACACTGGAGAAGCTAAAAACATGTTTTTAAGGCTCTAGTGAGAGCTTGCGACTTTTTGCATTGCTGTGCAATAAAATATACAAAATCGTCGTGAGCAGTCACAAGATGCTTAAAAGCCGGTCTTGTCTCAGTCGGTCGTAGTCAGACGCAAGTGTGTGAACGGGTCTTAAGGGCGGACACTACCGAAAAGGGTCTACTCTTGAACTTTTGGCTTAGTATAAATGAAAATTACAGTATATACTGGTAGTAGCGAGACAAAATGCACTGCAAAGTTTCATCTGTGTACGTCAAATGTGAAGGAAATTATAGTTGTTTTTATTAGAAACACACTGACATTGTTTAGGAAAACTATTGTTAGGAAACCAATGTAATACCCAACATTTTCCTTCGCTAGATACACAGCAGAATGCCTGGAGAGTGCAACTGTGAAAACAAAATTTTCAAAAAGTAATTTATTTAGTAGTAGTAAACATTTATTTACGGAAAGATCATGTGGTATTTCGCTTAAGCATAGATTTGCCACGCATTAGCGGTGGTTCGGAAACCTGGCCAGACCCTAAAATCTTCCGGGATGACGATGAGCGTGAGATATGATGAGGTGTTCGAGGTGAGGAGGCCTCAGACTCTGAGCTCCCCACGAGACAGTCAAGTAGGGACTTCAGGATTTGGGTCCTCCTTTCAGAGACCCGATTTGGGTGTGTCCACTGTCCCATATTCGTGGGTCTTACTTCGAGTGGAAGGCCACCCAAGACGTCCCCTGATGCTTGGCAAGAGCCGAGCATCCCCGTATCATATGATTGAGTCAGTGGATAGAGTTAGAATCCTTACATCGTTCACAGCTATGGTCAGGGGGGACTGCATATGGTTCTATTCTTCTAAGAGTACTAAGTTCAATGTGATATATAGTCCTAGGAGTCATTGCACCACCAGTACGAATACGGTGAAGTAGCACCATGTCTTTTCTGCGGAACACTTTTTCTGGAATAGGGTCGTAGTTAGGAGTCCACAGCTCCTTGAGTTCTTTTTGCCGCTTGTTTGTTCATGGCGAAACCATTCTCTTGGGTCATACTCTTCGGAGGATGAGTCGGATGGTCTAGTAGCATGCTGGGAGGATTGCATTGATGTGGACGGGCTCAATGAAATTCTTCTCATCTCGCATCCAGCAGTCTCGTGTGCAGCTTCATTTCCAGGGATCCCGTTGTGAGCAGGGACCCATCGGATGTTGAACAGAATGTTGTTTTCTTTCGTTAACCTGTTGGCTGTTTGGTAGATCTTGTCTATCGTGGGGCTGCAGGTGGAGCAATGTCTTTGGATTTCTCTGATGGCTAATTGAGAGTCTGTGTAGAGGATGAGTCGTTTGTTGCTGACGTTCAGCGCCTCGGTGCTGTGCAGCCCAAGGAGGATGGCATGGAGTTCCGCTATCTCAGTAGAGTCCCCAGACCTTCCCGCCGGGCTGGGCATGACCGAGTGGGCCAGGGGTGCCCTTTGAAAGCAGTGGTATATCGACGCGGCCCCCACCCACGTACCAGTAGTGGGGCTGGCAGATCCGTCGGTACACACCACTATGTAGTTTTTGTCTTTCAGAAGCTCTTGTATTTCCTGCCGATGTTGCTTGCCTTAGTACTTTCGTCTTTCTTTGCCCCTCTTTGTATTCATATTTTGTGGGAGAGGTTTGGCGCCGGTTGTGAGGTTGATGAGTTCCCAGGAGGCCTTGGCTCCGGAATGGGCTTCACAAATTTGATTGGGACGTCCAAGTATCTCGCAATGACTCTGCCTTCTTTGGTGTGCTGGAGTCGTGGAAGATGGGCTTCCTTTCGTTGTCGTAGGAGAACTTTGAATTCAGGGAGGTAGATGCAGTTGTGCAGCTCTTCTAAGCGAGCGTGCTTAGGTAGTCCAAGGATTGCCCTCCTCGCATCATTCAACAGACTCTGTAGTTTGAAGTGGTGCGCCTTTGTGAGCAGGTAGAAGTTTGCCGCATCTGTCACTTTAGATACCAAGACCGCGGTGACAATCTTCTTGGCCACCCTTTTTCCGGCACCACCTAGCCTGTGTGAGATTCTGCGTTTAATGTTTAGTCCTTGTATGCAATTACGTAAGCATACAAATTTATTTTCACTAACGTCGTGCTTAAAACTTAAACTTTTTACTTTGTCGACAAAATTTTAACATTTTTTACAAAAGATGTTTATAAAGTAAACAAAAAATAATGCCACAGTTGCAGTGCCCATTAAATTTCATTTACGAAAAACAATGAGTAAGCCTTTCCT